GAAATACCAGTGGAATTTACCCTTTTGTAAAGAAAACAAGGCCTCGCAGAAAGTAGGAGCTAAATGGGCTTAGCTAACACAGCGCCCTTCAGCAGATTGCAATGTCTAATTACACACACTGCATTTTACTCATGGTGCAAAGAACTATTGCAGCCTAAGCACACAACTGAATACAACATGCTGGGCAGCTTTTGGCAATGAGGAGTCTGGTTCTCATGCTCAGAAACAGAAAGAAATGTTTCTCTTTCCTAGCTGCTGTAATAGGTTTTCCCTAGTCACAGAACGAAGAGAAGTGCTGTTATGCAAAGTTTTGAGCAAATACTGACCACTTCCTCTTTGAATTCCTGTTGCCATTTTTCCCATCTGCTGTATTCCTTTTTTCATAACTACTTCTGATACCATAAATGCTTGTCTTAACAAGAGGGCAAATGTCAGAGGGGAAACTGCCCAAGTCAAGGTTCACTTCTATACTAACAGTGTTTCAGAGTTGTGCTGAGATGAGGCAGGGAGGTCTGGCACCACAGAATGTGAAGCCCTGAAATGCAGGATATGGGGATCCCTGCTGAGCAGTTCTCACTATTGCCTGACACATCAGATGCTGCTGATCAGCAAATCAAAGGAACAGCCAGTTTTGCCTCTGACTGCTGAAATACAGGAGAGAGATAGAGGAAAGGTGCAAGCTTGTGGCTTCGCTGCAAAAGTCTATGATGGGGAAGGTTCACATGTGTGGGTTAAACTGAATGGGCCTATGACAATAGGACAAGGATGCAGCACAGCATGCCAGTTACAGTGTGGAGATTTGCATCTGTATTTGCTGCTGTGGAAAACATGAGATATGAAGGAACAACTCTGGAAAATAAAGAGATTTACAATCTTTGCCAACTTCCATCTCTGCCAAGGGCAGCAGTGTTCACTTTGCCCAAGCAGTGACCATTACAAACAAGCCATGGCACAGAAGAATCAAAACTGGCACCAGAGAGTCTCAGAAGCACCCCTTCTCCACAGACCTGTGGCTCCTGTAGGAAGAAAGCCTTATATATGTAAGCAGGCTGAGGCAGAAAGCCCTGGGATGCCTTGAGAACAGTCCTGGGGATTTGCTGAGCTCTCACCCCTGCAGCTGTGCAGAGGACAGATAGATGCAGATAAGGTTGGTCAGGTTGGACTGCATGAGAGCCCACACTAGCCAGGTTGGGTAGTGGCCAGGCTAGGATTTTCTCTCCTCTGGCAACACCCTCAACAGTGCTAGTGGCCAATCGTGCAACAGAAGCATGGCTCTCCTAATAAAATATTTCCCAACTTGATCGGTGCAGTGTTTACCTTCTGCTGAGCTGCCCCCCTTCTAGCTGACGGAAACAGTAGGCTGTATTCTTGCAGCTCTTCGTACAGCAGTTCCAGCACAGAACATGGAAAAAAACTCAAACGCAAAAAGATGCTGAACCTGTGAAAAAAAGGACTGTGAGCTGCTGCCATCAGGCTGCCTGCTGCTGTAAAAGCTGATTTGAAACCTTCCTCTGCACTGCCAGCAGGCAGCTGGAGGGATGAAGCAGCCACTGGATGGACTGCAAAAGGATTTTAGGTGCCTCAACATGTAGGCAGATGTCCCTTAGGACTTCTAAAAGCTCCCAAGAATTAAGGATGGATTTTGTTGAGCTGTTCAACATCTCTGTGATTGCAGCCTTGAGCCAAAAGGCAGATGCAGTACTACAGGAACAGAGGTGCAAAAGATGAATATTTAAAATGTACTCACCATGATCCCAGAAACAGCAAAGGAAGTGTCAAATCAGTAAGGGATGAGGAATCCCAGGCAGCAAAGGAATCCACAGGGTGTTGGTGGAATGCTGCGGCCTCTGGCAGGAACGAGCAGGTTGCACACATTCCCACTCTGCCCTAGCATTTGCTGTTTGCTTATTATAAACATAGTTAAATCAAAAGTGTAATTCAGGAGAGCAGAACTCGGTCTGCTATGAGCAAGACTTACAGCTTGTTGCCTGCGACCTTTCTGCTCTCCTGAGGTATTTCCTGGATCTACTTGCACGTTTTGGGAGCCCATCCACAACAGTTGTGCCCAAGGATTATTTATCTCAGCCCTTAATGGGTGTTCACAGGAACATTGCACCTATGGAGCATCTTCTGCGCTTCTTAACAAGATAAATAAGAGTAAGGACTTTTACTTCACAGTTTACAATTTGAGTTAAGCATCACAATTACAGATATATTTTTTAAATGATGTATCATACACTCCCCTAAATCTGAATTATTATATTATTATTATATTATTATTTTTTTTTTAATGGAGTTAGTTGCATGGATTTTTTTTCACCATTTGGAGATGGCAGGTCTATCATTGACTCTAGAGGGAAGTAAAGACAAGCCAGCTTCTAAGTCTGACCTCTCTTAGATGCCTTATAATTGGGTGAGATGGATGCAGGCCTTACTGTAAGCCATATGCTTCAATTACCCTTTCTGTTTAAAGGACACAGCAATTCTGCCCTCCCTGGAGTGCCCTTAATTAAATTTTGTGCAACATAACAATGGATGAAAATTCCAAAAGTATTTACAACACTCATGAACAAGAGCAGAAAAAAACATTGATATGAAACATTGCATTTGCTTGTTCATACATACGAATCTTTTAAAATGATTGGTCCCTTCCTATGTTCTGTTCTCTCTGTAGCACTTTTTGAGAGCAAGCTGCATCTCAGTTCTCTTGGAGAGAGGGGCTTTGCAGAGAGACCTGGACAAATAGGATGGCAGAGCAGTCACCAACTGCTTTTGGTTTAACAAGAGCAAGTGCCAGATTTGGCACCTGGAATGGGGCAGCCCCAGATGACACATATGGACTGGAGGACGAGAGGCTGGAGGGCAGCCCTGCAGAAAGGGATCCGGGGGCTCTGGAAGATGGCAAGGTGAATGTGAGCCAGCAGTGTGCCCTGGCAGCCAAAGGGCCAACCGTGCCCTGGGGTGCACCAGGCCCAGCACTGCCAGCTGGTGAGGGGCTGTCTGCTCTGCTCTGTGCGGCCTCAGCTCCAGCACTGGGTGCAGTCTGGCCCAGCAATATAAGGACATAAAACTATTAGAGAGCATCCAAAGGAGAAGGTGAAGAGAAGAGAACAAGATGTGTGAGGAGCAGCTGAGGTGCCTGGCTGCGCTCAGCCCAGAGCAGAGGAGCTGAGCGGAGGCCTGATGGCGGCTGCAGCTCCTCACAGGGAGCGGAGGGCAGAGCTGAGCTCTGCTCTGTGTGACAGCGACAGGGCTGAGGGAACGGCATGGAGCTGCGTGAGGGGAGGGCAGCTGGGCTCAGGGAATGGTTCTGCACCAGAGGGCGGTGGGCACGGAACGGGCTGCACAGGGCTGTGGGCACGGCCCCGAGTGCTGGAGTTCAAGGAGCATCTGGACAGCGATAATGGATGTTGCGTTTGGGTGGTGCTGTGTGGAGCCGGGGGCTGCGCTCAGTGATCCACGTGGGTCCCTCCAACTTGGGATATTCTGACTCTGATTCAGTTGTTTGAAATTGCAAATCTCAAAAAACAAACAAGCCAAAAACAGACGAGCAAGAGCGCAGCGCTGTAACCCGCCCGACGCCGCGGACCTGCCCCCGCATCCCGCGCACGGCCCCAAGCGTCGCGGCTCCCTCACCCCCTCTGCTGGCGGGCGGCAGCGCGGCCGGACACCGGACATGCGCGGTGGCGCTCCTGCCCAGTTATGGCGGAGCTGCGGGGAACGGCGGGTGGGTCGGTGGCGTCGGGTCGTGCTGCCCTATGGCGGCGTGATGTGGCAGGGCTCAGGAATAGGTGCGCGGGTGGGACGGGGCGGTAGGGACGGGTCGTACGTTCACTGCTGTCATTGGCGTTAGTTCTGTCACACCACAAGTACGTACTGTTTGTCACCAGCGTGTGATTTGAAGCTTTCCTCACAGTTGTCTGCGCGAGTTCTTCTGCAGATGTACGTTTTGCAAAATAAATGCTGAAGGCAGCAGACATGCTGTGTGTGACAAGGTGAATTGTTTGATCTGCCGGCCGATTGCAGACAAACTGTGCATCAGATTTTATCCCTTCTTAGCAAAGGAGAAGCAGGGGAAGAGCGAGCCCCTACAACAGCAGTGGCTGCAATCCTGCTCCCCTCAGATCCAGTGCTGCCGATGGGGAATGTGCTCAAAATCCCATCTGTTTCCAAACTGATGTTAAATTATTGCAGACATCTCGGTATTTGCTGTGCATGGATGTATCTTGTGTTGGAAAACAGCACATTGCAGCGATGGAAGATAACCTGAATTCTTCCATCCCATTAACTGCAGGAGGTCTTCTACCCGAAGGGCCACGTCTGGCAGGCAGGCTGGTTGGGCATCACAGCCCAGTGCTGTGCACACAGCTGCTGTCTGGGGCTGAGCCGGATGGAGCCATGGCTGTATGGCTGTATTGGAGACTGAAGTGAGCCCAGCTGGGAAGGAGTGGCAAAACACCCCATTGCAAGCAGCCCAGAGGCTCCATGCAACCTTGGTGTAGATCACCTCACAAGAAGACACCTCAAGGACTCATTTGGTTTAACTTAGCAGGCATCTAAGCACCACACCTTTTAGTCCACGGTAAACGTAAGGCAGAATTACAGAAAATAAGCTTTTTAATCCCCCATAAGCTCAGCATGCCTTGTGCACCTATTGCAAAGGGAAGCTCAGAGCTGGATTTTAGAATGAGGTTTTTGGAAGCTTAGAGCTGAACACTGTTCTGGGGAATGGAGGAGGGAGGCAGAGCCTGCAGGGCTGAGGCACTTACTGTGTTCCACCTTAGGCTGCAGAGCTGACATCAGTCTGTTTTCTCTTGGAATGTTTGATGTTATGATTGAATGGCTGAGAGCTGATCCAGATATCATGGCCTCCTCACAGTTAGAGAATCACAGAATCATTAAGGTTGGAAAAGACCTCTAAGACCATCTAGTCCAATCCTCAACCCATCACCTCCATACCCACTAACCATCTCCCTTATCTCCCTTGCTTCCAAATCCAGACAACAGCTGCATAATGAGAACACTGGCAGTGCTGGAGTGCCACTGCCCATAGAGGTATGGGCAGTGATGGAGGGCCGACAGGACCGCTGTTGCTGCTGCAAGGAGCTTGGCACAGAAGAACATCCCTGGAGCAGGTGGGTGGCCGTCGGCCCTGCATGGCACCTGGTGCTGTGACTGGCACCGCGGCCATGAGGATCCCCAAAAGGAACAAAACTTGCTTTCATGGGGCCACTGCATCTCCTGGTTAGAATCAAGGTCAGGCACAAATTACAGCTCTGATTCCCTGGGGATTCCTGCCTCTGCTGTGTTTTGGCAGCTTAAGGCCTCTTTGATATTTGAGCGAGGCCTTTCCCTCAGCACATCTGATCCTGATTACGGTTTATGGCAATGGTAATTCTTTACCTCCCCAAGGCAGCAATTTTGAGAAGAGAAAGGGAAAACAAGTACAGTGTGATCGTTTAGGAGAGGGGCACACTGCACAGGATTTTAACTGTTTCTCTGTTTACAGCCATGGCTCTTCCACACAGATGACCACTATCAGTACAAGCCCTTCCCATGGCAGCACCCCATGTCCAGCAGTGAAATCTCTGTGTCTGGAGGCAGAAAAAGTCAGGTTATGTATTTATGTATCCAGGCACTGAGTTCTGAACAATAAAGCTGTGGCTTGGGTAGATTTTTTGTCACTTTCTGTTTCCTGGTGAGCACAGAATGAACAGGCATTGGTAAGTGCCAAAGATTTTCTGACTGCAGTGAAGAACCCAGGTCCCACTGGGTACCACCATCACCTCTCTCCTGCTTCAGACTTGAAGGGGAGCTCTGCTCTGTGTCTGGCAAGCACCAAGTGCATCTGATGGAGGTGGCAGAAAATATGGCAGTATGGAGGTGGCAGAAAATAGCAGCGCTGATTTGCTTTTGTGACACATCAAGGCAGTGTGTGATACAGGCACTTTGGCACACAACAGTGGGTTTCTCATGTCTGTTCGTAACGTGCTTCGTTCCCTTGTTGCTTTGGCTTCTCTGCCTTGGTTATACCGTGAGCTCCTCAGGTTCACTGAGGCTCTTCAGAGGCCATGCAGGGGCTTTACAGCTCTTGACTGTGAATAACCACTCCTGAAACATGAATAACCACTCCTGAAGCTGGTACCATCAGCTTGCCCTCAGACAAGATATCACAATTCATAAAAGGACTAGAAGCACGAATCACAAAATGATTCCATTACCTGTCAGCACTATAAATGCCTGCAGTTAGCAGAGGCCTGTGCTGGGTATGGTTCTTTGGTGAAGGTGACCATAAACACCTCTCAGGGAAGCGGGGGATGTGCACTGTATTTGCCCATGGAGCTACCAAGAAATGGAGCAATTAATAAAGGACACTTGTAACATTTTTGTTGAAAAAAGGACATTCTGTAAATCCTAGTCCATAACCCTTTCCAAAAAGTAATGCAAACTGTCACAGGTGCAGGAGGGGAAAGAAGCAGCACCGGCTTTCAGTATTGCTGTGATGTAGTCAGTCCTCAGGGAGTGTTTTACAAGCCAAAATTTCTACTCAGTTGATGCTAAGGAAGGGTCCATCATGGGATTTTCCTCCTTTCCATTAGTATTTTAATTAGACTTTCATATTATCTTGGGACTTGGGGCTTGCGAGGAGTACCCTGTGAAGGAAAAAAAAAAATTATACCTGTATCTCCCTCTATATTTTCTTTGTGTGAAACAAGCAGAAATTTGAGAGCCCAGGTAGGCAGCGGGCACCTCGACTCAGTGGGAACACTGCAGCCTGCGAGCTGCATCTTGTGCTCATAAATCAGCCCAATTATCCTAACGAGGAGAGCTGGGTCCCTCTTCTTTGAGCCCTGCTGGTTTACAGAGAGAGGAGAGCAAATAATAGAGAACAGTGGCAGCTTCTGGGTTGGGGGTGGGCAAAGGGATGGAGGACAATGGGCGATGCTTCTCACCACTGCCACTTCAGGAGGGCAGCAGGGCAGTTCTGCATTATCCCTGGCTGTTTTTCCAGATCAGAACTGAAAGCGGTTTCTTTTCTTGCTCTGTACTAGTTTAAGTTTTCTTGTAATGGTGAAAATTAGAAACTTGTTTTTCTGCAATGACAACGCAGGTTCTTATTTACTCCATGAATCTGGGAGCTGAAACTCCAAGAAAACCACAAACTACCATGAGATTTATTAATGAAAGATGAGAGCCAAAATTATGAGTGGCCCCATTCATTGTTTTCTATGTTTTCATCCTGGTCCCTCCTATTCTCCCCTCTTGGCGATGTCTGAAACAAATCATTCAGGTCTAGATCTCTTATTACGACACTCACAGAGCCTCCTTGCTATTGTTTTGGCCAAATTAAAAACATTTGTCAGGAGTAATTGTTGAATGGCATAAAAATTCATCTCTATTTTGCTGATGAGGACTTAATTACTTCCATTCTATTGTGATAAGTTATGTACTCAGTTCAGATATTTTTTAATACAAAACATTTTTTAAAATGGCCAGTTCTGGCCGTTCTTGTGACATCCTCCTCTCAGGAAAATTCTTCTTCTTAATCTCTCGGTATGTTCTCAACAGCTTATCCCTCTTTTCTAATGTCAGTTTTCCTAAAATGCCTTCTTATTCCTGCCTCACACACAGCTAAGTTGTGTCCATATTTTCAGCTTTTCAGGCTCCAAAGAAAGCTCTATAATTAGTAGATAAACCTTCTCTTTGGTCATCAATCCGCTCTGTGTTTCCTGTGTTGATTTCAGTGAGTTAAATGCATTGAGATGTTTGGAGATGTCCCCACCCCATCTTCAGCCTGAAGCACCACTGAGACCCACAGCTGCTGCAGAACACAATGAAGCTGCCAGAGGCACTAATGGGAGGAGCTGAAGGGTTTGTAGATAGAAAGTAAGGGGTGTGCTGTAGTGCCTACAACCATGGAGTGCAAGAGTACCCTTCTTAAAGCCAACAGAATGGCATCTTTTTTGATGGAAATATAACAGTGGGACTTCAGAGCACGACCAGCACTCAGCATTCAAAACAGCATGCATCAGGCCAGACACAAACTGTAAGACTATTTTAAGTCATTAAAAAGATCCAGAATTAGTCATATTTGCTTGTTATTTCTGAGCCTGTCATGTTTCCTTGGTTTTGTGTTTTCAGCCATTGCTCTACTGGGAGCAGGATACAACTTTGGGGGGGAGGAGGAACAAAGAGGACGCCTGGGTTTGGGGTGCTGGGCCTCTGCACTGTGCACCAGGAGCCACAAAGTCAAGAGACCCAGCAGAGTATGAGACCCACAGACTCTCAGTAAGCCTTGTGATATTAAAAAACATCTCTGGAATTCATTAAATTCTTAGTATTACCTCCAACCTCACCAGTGAATTTTAAAATTAGCTTTGTTATTACCTTTGCACCAGAGGTATTTCAGCATTGCTGCCATGCGGGAAACAACCAGAACCGAAAGTTACAGGTGGGAAAAGTCACCCCTTTGAAATTCTGTGACACAGCACAGCAATTTTGTTCTGCTGTTTTTAAGTGCTTTGCTTCTGTTCATGAGACTATTTTAACTACAAATTAAATCAGAACCTCCTGATGGAGCAGAATCAAGCAGCAAAGCAGCACTGAATGGCTCAAGTAGCACAGAGCAGAAACAGCGATGAGACTCCCAGCTGCCCTGACTGCCTGTGTGCCTCAGCTGTGTGCAGCATCACTGCCTTGCTCTCACTGCCAGCTTTGCTGTGCTTGCCAGCACCCTGCAGCACCTTGTCCAATGTGCTCACTGGTGTCAGGTGGGATTAAGAGGTTGGGAAATTGAGGCTGTGCTGAGAGTTCCTGGCTTAGACAAATACTGTCCTTAACACATTTGGCAGGTAAATTCAAAGATAGAGCTTGGAAAAAATGTGAGAAAATAATTTCTTTATGTCCAGTTGTAGCAATCCATTCTCTGCTGGTGCAGCCCTGGTGCCTCAGACCTCCCTTCTGTACAGTAAAATTAAAGAGGAGACAACAAGCCATCATCTATCGCCATATTTAAATCTAGCTGCTTTTTCTTAGAGCTTCCATTTCAGATCTGAGGCCAAACCACGGGCATGGATGGTCCCAAAGCCAGGAGAAACTTGCAGTGACCAGAGCTCCACGGGAGGCAGAAACAAGAAGTGCTTTCACAGAATCACAGAACAGCTTGGGTTGGAAGGGCCCATCAAGCCCATTGGGTTCCAACCCCAGACACTGGCATGGGTAGGGCTGCACCCAGCAGATCAGACTGCCCAAGGCCCCATCCAGCCTGGCCTTGAATGGCTCCAGGGATGGGGCACCCACAGCTTCTTCAGGCAAAATGCTGCTTTACTCAGGACACGTGCTGTTAGCTAGAACAAACGTTTCAGACCTCTTTGAAACATTTCCCACCAAATAATCAAATGCAGAAGTTACTTAAAACAGAAGTGTTCCTGCAAGGCAATAAGGGAAGATATAACTGAAGTCTACAGTAGCCAAGTCACACCTCATTGTGTTTGCTTGCTGCTGACTTCACTAAAATCTTAAACTATAAAAAACACATTGGTAAAGTTAAAACAGTCATCTTAATGCTTCAGAGCTACACCAATACATGGCTTTACTAACAGTTATAGATTAACTTCATATCTAAATCATCACCAATAAGTGTACTGCATCAGCAAGCTCACTTAAAATAAACAAAAAATGGATTTTAAGATAAACAGGCTCAATGCCAAAAATCCACATTCTTTGTAACCAGGGAACTGCACACATGAATGCAGCTATTGGAAGAATAATTGGTCCACAGCTACAGGCAAACACAGCATTTTGTTGTTTCCCCTTCCCCTTCAGTGGCTGCTGGATTTTAAAATTTGCATGATGGCTATTTTTTTTTTACTGAAGGAGAAAAATAGAGCTCCCATGGGGCAGCTTTACCCTCCTACCATATGGAATTGGCTTTTCTTTTTTTCAGATTATCTCATTTATTATTATTCGTACCTTTAAAGAGAAAGAAAATTCTTTCCATACTCAGACCAATAATGATGTAGGAGGGAGGGAATTAAAAAATAAAAAGCCCCTCTCACTTGTTACTTCTGCCAGCAAGCCAGCAATTGAGATCAAGGCCAACAATTTTGCCCTTTTATGCTGTCCCTTCTGTGTGATGGAGGCCTGCATCAGACACTGCTCTTCCTCGGATTCTTTACAAGATATCAGAAATCTGCTCTCCCCTCATCAGAGCTGAAATGATGTGTGCCCATAAAAGAAAGGAGAATTTTCTCTGGTCCAGAGGAACCAGCTTGTCACCAAGTCTTTGCTACTATTTGATGAAAGTAGAAACCTACATGCAGACCTGTAGGGTTTTAGCTGTTGTGAAAATGATTGAGCTGCTCTCCTCTTTCAGAAACTGTTTGCATTCAGTCACCCCACATAGCAGGAAAACCAATTGTTCCTTAAAAATTATAAAATTCTGTGCAGAAACTGTTGGTGCCCAGAGATTTCACAGCAGGCCATCCGTTAATTGCCTTTCCTTCCAGTCTGCATCTGGAACATTCATCTCTAATGCACCTTACTGAGGAATATATTAGTTTGTACAGTGGAGAAAGACCACAAAGAAAACTGCTGAATGCATACAATGCCTTAACGTAACAATTTGCAAGTAGCCTTACTGCTAGCATGCCCCACTCTAACTTTGCACAAGTTTTTTATTTTGCAATTTAGGTCACATTCAGCAAACTAGGTGACCTTCAAGGCCCCTTTCCAAACGAGATCATTCTATGATGGAGTGCATGAAGAATTACACGGCTTCATCAGTGAGATCATTGATTTGCGAGTTCCAACACTGTACTCCTTTTTCCTCTTTTTAACCCAATTATAGGCTGAAACACAGTGCAGTCATTTCTGGCACAAACTCAAGTCACCCTGCATATAGCAGTGCTATCAGCATCACTTCTAGGAGAATCTGCTCCATGAATTTCCCAGGCACAGAGGTGAGGCTCACTGGCCTATAGTTCCCCAGGCCACCTTTTCTCACTTCCTTAAAAATGCGCGTGATGTTTCTCTTTTCCAGTCACTGGGGACTTCACGTGACAGCCACAGCTTTTCAAATATGATGGAGAGGGGTTTGGCAACTACATCAGCCAGCTCCTTCAGAACCCTGGAATGCATGTTGTCCACCCCATAGACTTGTACATATTCAGTCTCATGAAGCGGTCTTGGTCTTGCTGCACTCTTACAGTGGGAGGAATGTTGCTCCCCTGCCCCCCACTCCACTTTGACATTCAGGGACATGAGATGCATGGGAAACCTGACTGCCAATAAAGGCTGAGGCACTCATTGAGTACCTCAGCTGTCTCCATGTCTGTTGCAGACAGTTCTCCCTTCTCATTTATCAGAGGGGATACACTCTCCTTTGCCCGTCTCTTCTGACCAATGTACTACAGAGCCCCTGCTTGTTATTCCTCACGTCCCTCACCAAATGCAGTTTGATCTGCACCTTGGATTTCCTGATCCCATCCCTGCACATCTGGATGGTGTCCCTGTATTATTCCCAGGCCATGTGTTACCATATCCCATATTTATAGACTGCTGGTACAAGGATATTTTCACTGACAAAAATAAAACACCTTTTCTTCGATCTCCACAGTGTATCACAAAGATGGAGAGCTAGGTTCCATTCACTTACACCTCAGCCTAAAAGCCAATCTTGGTAGCATGGATTTTTTCATAGCATACAGCTCTTCTCAGATCAGGTGTCTGTTATTTCTCTGCCAAATAATTCTTACTCTAACATTTCTCTGCCTAAAATTCTTACCCTGTCCAACCTGAATGTTTGTGGCATTATCAAACGAAGTGAAATCAATTTATCTTTGCAAGCAGGTGGTTTTTGGTGTGGGTTTTTTTGCATATTTTTTCTTCCTCCCCAATATGCACAAATACATCTGGTCAACATGAAGATAACAGAAGTATCTCTAACTCACACATGGCAGAAGAGCAGTGTGTTTCTGGTTGGCAGACTGGGATAACTAAAAACATGATCAGCAAAGGGGCTAGGAACCAGGATAACTGCAGGAGGAGAAAGAAAGCAGCTGACAAAAGCCAACACAGCATGAAGAAGAGGAAGGAACTACAGATGAGCATTTAAGCAGCAAGGCTATGGGGATTCCTGAAAGCAGAGGGCACAAGACCTAATGAAAGTAATTAATGACTGATCTATTTAAGTTGTCCTTTCTAGTGGCAGACAGTATTGAAATATCAGGCCGGCTTCTACTTAGAACATTTGATACTTACTGAAATACTTCACATATATATACATACACCCATACACACACATACACATTTATTGTAGTGTGTGAAATTAGAGAATACTGCTGTCAAGTGTCATCTGTCCTACAGCAAAGAGGTTTTTAAACTGGATTCATAGAACCAACTTATTTTCTCAGTGGAAGAGCCATATCCATCCACATCACCAGTTCCTGACTTGCCAGGCTATTTCAATTCCATGAACCCAAAGCAAAAGCTGTGGTAGAAATGGTTGCCATACAGCCTGCTGCTGTAACATACGGTCAGAACTCTGCTGTAAGGGACTCAAATGCAGATCCACTAATGAATGTAAACATTAAAGAGCCTCAATGCTCAGAAATTCCTTAAACAATGTTGGTACAAACACCTGGTGGTCTTACATAGATCAACAGAAGGCATTGAGTAGCTTGTTGAACATCAGAAAGACAGCAGGATCTATAAAGACAAGATATCTGAACAAGATTAGAGTTGTGAAAGTAGTCAATGAACAGCGACTGGCAAGTCTGTGTGTTCTGTGACCCACCTCCTACGGTCAGCTCCCAAAGTCTAAGAGCAGGGACTGGAGAAGGAAGCACTGAGAAGTGTGAGAAGCTGCTCTGGAACAGGGGTGGTTTGTCACACTGGATGTATCCATGGAGAAGTGAGTAATGCTTAAATATCATCATGGCACTGCATACTACATGAAATAATAGCAAAAAGCATGTCCTTGTTCTGTTCTTTCTGTCCTTCCCTCTACTACACAGGTTGAGAATGTATAATCCTACGTCAAACACCAGGCAGAAGGCGCGGCTCTGACAATCCAGTGACTTCTGAGTGCACAAGATATCATCAGCATCCACACTGCTGTGTTTGCCAGGGTAAGGTAACCCTTGCTGAGCCCAGCACTGCAGCAGATGCACTGCTTTCAGCTAGACCTGCACTCCTGCTTCTAAAGCTAACTTGGTTTGATCAGATACTACATTCCTTGTGACTGTCAGCACAGACTGGGTTTGCTCTTTTTCAGCTTGCTTTATGAAGTGTGACTTACAACCACTTACTTTGAATCACCCCACAACCCTTTATGATGAGCTGCCCACGCTCCTCAGGGTGAGGCATCTCTTCCTTTAAAGCCAGTAACTATTCTTGATGAAGGACCTATATTTAATGGGAAGACCCTCAGGTTTGTCCATTTCAGCAAGCATTCCCCTTAGAACTGCACAGTAAGCAGCACAAATCTCTAGCAGGATTTCTGCAACTGGGCAACTGTATAAACAAATGAAGAATTATTGCTGCTTCCTTTGTTTTTTAAACATCTGACTTCTAATACAGTTCAGCTCTGAATAATAATTACATAAAAATGCATCACAAGAGCCCAACTATCATGCTGGTTTTCATCTCAAGCACTTTGACTGTGCAAGAAAAAAAGAGGCTTTAAACAATTTAAAGCATGCAGAATACAAAAAAAAAAAAAAAAAAGATTTTGTCTCTGGAAGAGAGATTCATAATCACATCTGATCAGAATACGTCTCTTGTATCAGGAGGTTCATAAAAATAAAACAGCAAAAATAACACTACAAATAGGAATTTGTATAGACAGCAAGGTGACTTCCCGTGCCTTGGGGTGAGACGTGCCAGAGAAACCGAAGCTCCTGCATCCAGCGGTGGAACCGTGATCAGTCACACCTCCAGAGGGCGATGGTCCGGCTGCTCTGCTCCTCTGCTCAGGCGTGGTGAGTTTGACACCGTGATTTTCAATGCTACAGCTAAAGGAGATTTTCAAGTCCGTACAGAGATCTTGTCGAATTTGCTGTAGCGGTAGCTGCGGTGTGCCTGTAGCCCTGTCTTGCAGAAACAGACCAAACGTACAGATTGTACCACCCCACGAGATCTTGTGAGACTACTTTTGAAACTGTTACAAAAATGAAGCTGCTTTTTACGGGCCTTTACCCCTTATAAAAATCACATTTTTGTAACATCAAACCAAACACCTCATTCCTTTCAGCACAAATCCCATCAGATCAAGCTATGAAACAATATATAAACCCCTCTTCTGCAAGCTTGAACCTCTCCATCACATTGCTTTACCAGCTAAATGTGTCCCCTGCACACATCTGGCTTTTAGATAAAGGGGGATACTGCATGAAACTTTATCTGAAAACCAACTGAGAAATACAATAATCAAGTAACATAATGAGACCACAGAATTAAATACAGATTTATAAAGCAGTAAGGAGCAAGGAGCAAACTAAGTGCTTCCAGTTTTAAAAAAAGGTATAAAGCAGTTGCTATAAGTGGTACACAAAACAGCTAATTGAGCCCTTTGATTTTAGGAAAACCTGCATATCCATGCATCAATTAACTTAAAAAAGCAACCAAATCAATATTGAACCGTCTATTCATCCTCACTCACAAGAAGAAAAACCTTATAAAAATATTAAGTATAGTAATATTAAGTAAGTATAAAAATATTATTTATCTACTTCATATATAAAAATCCAAGAGCTCAGGATCTACTCAAGATTAAGGATAATTTCAGCCACTGATGCAAACCACATCTTGAAGTTAAGGATAATTTCAGCAACTGCCCCAAGCTACATCTTCTAACTCAAATTTCTTCCAACAAGCAAAATCCTCTAAGGAGTAATAGATACCAGTCTTCTGCACAGAACTCATCTAGAGCATGAATTAACTGTAGACATTCAATCCTTTCACTAACAGTCTTTTGAATACTCCTGTTCCAGCATAAATGTCTTGTTCCAATTTAACATAATCCACCTAATCCATTTGCAGTACGACTCACTTATACCTCAAAAGCTAGATGGAATTGAGACACAGAATTCTGGAATTGCAGTTTAAGACTCACTTGTCTGTTTAGATTACAGGTTGCTTCATCATTTGAACAGACAGTTCTTTGGGCATCTAAAATTCCATCAAGTCTGAGGAAACCTCATGCATTCACCATGTTCAGAATCCAAAAACCTGACATTCCTCAAGATCAATCTGAAAAAAAAGGAAACAGAACACTGAGTGCATCTGATAAACTGACAGGATTTGGGGTTCTTTGTCAGACCCAGCAGTTCACCAATTGCTGTTCCTAGGAGCTACAAACAGTAACAGGCCTGGCAGCACACGTACTCAACAAGCTGCAAGCTCAGGCTTGGGGCTCTCTCACCTTACAGGAAGGCAAAGCATCACCTCTCTCAGGACATTGCTCTGCTCAGACCCTCTGGACAGTGCTCCCAATAGCCTCCTGTTGGAGCTGGTCACTGCAAAGCAGAACACGCCAACTTATTTGGCCAGGAGAATAAAAGTCCAGGAAGAGGAAATATGAGGGAGGCTGTCCTGACTTATGGTCAGCCTCAGTTGATATCCAAAATTGGATTTATTGGGCAGCAGGAACTGCAGGTTATGGCTCACTACAAATACACTTACAGCTGAAACAGAAATGAAGAGGAGGTGAACGTCCATTTCTATCATGCCCTCTTACAATTTATCTTCCCAAACTAGAACTCCTAGTACATCTGTAATTTCTCCTTGCTTTCCACCCCTAAAATTAGCACCCATGCCAGCCCATTCACCCCCATTCCTATAACACAAGTAGAATTTGCATGTGGGGACTGAACAGAAGCATCTCTGCTGCCAGTTATGGACGGTGAGTGACTCGCAGCTCTTCACCCAGTGGTTTGTGTAACCACCTCCACACAGAAAATTACTTTCAACATAGCACCCAGGTTTATTTGGTAACCACCAAACACCACATAGATCATAAACTTAGTTTATTTGGCAGGAGTTAATACTCCAGTGTTTTGAAAAGCCTGTTAATCACTGGAGTTGTATGTGGTAAATACATATTTAAGAAACATTGCTTTAAAAGTGGGAAATCACCTCTCCTCCAGTTCCACACTGTTACTTGCAAGCCAGGTAGAAGAAGCACCATGACGTTAAGTCAGGAAGTGATCCCAGTGCTCTGGATGTATCTCACTGAAGCTTTGAATCAAGCACAGATAAGCATTCCAAAATCTGTGTGTCTTCGTTCAGCAAATAAGGCACAACACACCCAGCACAGCTTCTGATCCAGCACCACAGATCAGTAACACAAACTTTGCCATTACAGCTTCTAGCTTGTAATAGACATGTATCTTACTGGGTGTAACCCTCAAAGCCATATAAAAATTGACAAAATATATATATATATAAAGCCAGGAACAAATATGATGCTTTAGATTTATAGCCAGTCTTATTTCAGGCAAACTTTCCTTTGCAGGCTAACCTTACACAGCTGCTGTCATCTCCACATTACCAGTTCTATTCTAGCAATGCCTTAGTTTGTTTTCTAAATAAACTTAAACTATTAAAGAAAAGCTTTCTATGCCAAGATTTGCAATATACCTAACTTCTGACAAAAAGACAGAACACCCATGCACTTGAAAAAAGCTTTTGACTTCAGTAATAGGATGCACTAAAATAATTTGGGTCAATACAAAATATAAAGGCAGGAGGCATTTTTGAGCTACACTGGTGCACTTCCCAATGACTGCCAGGCTGCAGTCACTTGACAACAGCCCTGGAGATATACTACTATTGCTCTCCATTTATGGATCTGAACTTAAATACATTTCCAAGTATACAGCTGCACTTTGAGGAAATAAAGGTTGTGAAGTACACATCTTTAAAGACTCAATTTTTTTTAAATAGTACTTCTCTGAAGGAGTGGTTAGGCACTGGAATGGACTGCCCAGGGAGGTGGTGGAGTCACCGACCCTGGAGGTGTTCAAGGAATGGTTGGATTCTGTGTTGAGGAACGTGGTTTAGTGAGAACTATTGGTGATAGGTGACTGGTTGGACTGCATGATCCTGAAGGTCTTTTCCAGCCTTGGTGATTCTCTGATTCTGTGATTCCTTTTTTCAGTTTTAGCATCCTAAATAAAGCAAGGAGATACATTTTTATGGCTTATGATTATTTGAAGACAAGCAAACCAATAGTCATTACATATTAGGAATTCACTGCACTGTTATGTCAATTTGTAAACAAACTTTCCATGATATAAGTTTTTTCACGTAGGCAATTTCAAACTCCCTTTTATATAACAAGATTAATCAGTTTACATATGCTTTTTTTTTTTTTTAAAGTCCTTGCTGTTCAGTCCATACTTTTTCTGAGATATCCTATTTTGATATAAACTAATCAGTACTGTGACCAGACTAAGAGGAGAGACACTGCCAAGAGGCATCCCAGCCAAATCACCTTTTTGCTACTAAAAAAGAAACAATGTTTTGGCTTTTGTGTTTCACTTCAATATAAACAAAGCTGTCACGAATACTGTGGCACTGCAACAATAGCAGTACTCCTGAGATCATCTAATTTTATCACCTCAGCATTACTCAGGGGAAGCCGGTGGCAAAGCTATGCAAGTAAATTGTTGATGAGCTCTGTCTCGCTAATCCCCGTAGCATAGCAAACAGGATATAAAATTTGTTTATAATTATTGGTGAAGAGCTATTACTGAAACTATTCATATCTGCACACTCTTTATACCTGTACCTGAGAGACACAGTTATCAAGAAAAGAGATTGCAATTGCATTTCCTCCAATTTAGCGAGTTGTTATGAAGGCTTGATTTAAACATAAAGCTGCTGCTGTAATACATGAATGAGCAGGACAAAATGCATGCACACACGTATTCAGTAAGTACCAGAAATGGAAACAAGACAGAGATTTCTGCTATATTCTTACCTCCTCTCTATTCTCTGACTTTGGTTCTATTTAATCTCACCTACAAGAATGTCTAACAGCTGCATGTTTACTACTAATCTAATTCTGACCCTTCACGTGCATTTATTTCTCTCCATTCCAGGTTGTTCACTATTCTTTCCAGCCTTACTCCAATATTAGTTGGTCCTCATTTATATGGTACAGCTCCCTGCAGCACTGTGCCCTGCAAGGGCATGCCTCCCACTTGCACTCAAATCCATCTCTCACCATAGCATAACTTCTTTCTAATCAAGGCTTTAGAGTACAGCTTCAGAAAATACATAAGCCTGACACAGTCTTACAGTTTAAGCTTTCGTACCCTGCTTAAATCATGTTTTCCTCAAATTATCCCTCCAAAACTCCAGCTAAGAGATGATTGTGAACAGGAGCTGTAAACGTATCACAGATATGACTCCAGGCTCCTTAAGGAGAAGGCTAAATAGCTAATTCCTATTTGGTCCCCAACAGTAAAGCAAGAAGCACTAGTGCCTGAGCTACTTTCATTCACTACAGTGGTCTTCTTTCTAGACATGGATGTAGGGGAAAAGAAAGCATACGGAAGAAAGGCAGCAGGATTTCAGAGAAGCCATGAACACAACTAAAAGAGCAATGGAAAAAAATGCAAGCATTCTGTCCAGATTTAAAGTCATATTCTATCAAACAGGCATTCCACAGTAACCATCCAAAAGCTAACCAGTAAAACATTTTTCCTGTTTTTCAGAAAAGCCTTGAAGCATCACTACATCAAAACCGACAGCCTGAAATCTAGTTCAGTTATGCATCTGCAATATAGTTTTGCAATGATTTAAGAAATTATATAAGATTATTATTAATTTTTCAATAAGAAAACAGTAACTTTATTTCATTTGTTTTATCTACAGTTTTTCTAATGCATTTAAAAATCATTGGAAATGTGGAAAGGTTGGAAGAAAGCCCCCTCAGCTTACACTGGTGTTGTAGGGTTCTGTGCCTGACCACATCTCACCTAGTGGGATTTTAGAATTGCCAAGTCCAGACATTTGACAGCTTCAGGTTACATTACTTTTCAGTTCTGGCGCATGCTTTAAGCTTCCCACTTCCTTCTTCAGGACATTAAGCAAAGTTCTGGAACTATCCAAAATCTTCATGTAAGCAGCTTCAGTTTCAGCAAGAATTTTATCAAGCTCATTTCGTGAAGCTACCTTCTGAGCCAGGTTTTCACACACGCACTCCAACTGTTCATTCAGAACTTGAATTTCATGCTGGAGTTTACTTTTTTCCTCTTCTGCTTGCTGGATCTGTTTGTTCAGCTCCTCTTTTTGCATACACAAGTCTTCAATACACTTGACGAGCTCGTTGTTGTAACCTTGAAGAACAGCTCCCTGCTGCGTCATCCTCTGCTCCTGTCTCTGAGCTCTCCAACGGCTTCCTGAGGACTCCTCTCAGCAGCGGCCTTCTGCACATTAACACAAAAACAGAAAGAAAAAATATGTAATAAGAGTTTTTGCTATGCTACGTTTAAACACATAGAGTCACAGGGAAAGATGCGCTACTACAAGCCAGCAGGACAGTTCTGAGGTGTGCTGTATCGCTTCTCTTATCAGAAAGGAGGCAGGACAAGATTCGGGCTTCACATCGTAGTATGGTTTGGGTTGGAAGGGTCCTTAAAGACTATCAGTGCCAAACCCCTGCCATGGGCAGGGCTCCCACCCAGCAGCTGAGGCTGCCAAGAGCCACATCCAACCCGGCCGTGAGTACCTCTAGGGACGGGGCACTCACAGCTTCTTTGGCAGCAGCGCCAGGGCCTCACCCCTCTCTCAGTGAAAAATTTTCTTGACATCTAATATGAATCTCCCCTCTTCTAGCTGAAAATTATTCTTCCTTGTCCTATCATTGCCTATCCGTGTAAAGAGCTTACTTCCCTCCCATTCTCAAGCTCCTTCAAGCATTGGAAAGCCCCTATCAGATTTCCCTAGAGCTTTCTCTTCCCCAGGGCGAATAGCCCCAGCTCCCTCAGCCTTTCTCTACAGGCGATCCTGTGGCCTCCTCCGGACCCGCTCCAACAGTCCCGCATTCTTCCCACGCCGTGCCCCGAGCCAGGCGCAGCGCTCCCGCCGAGCCCCACCGGCTGTACACGTGCACCGCCGCTGGACCCGGCCCGGCGAAGTCACGTGACCGCGGGGTCCCGCCGGCCCTCAGCGCCCCTCACTCTCACCCGCTCCCCCCACGCGCGAGGCGGCCGAGTCCCGCCGCCGCCTCGGGAGGAATTGCGAGGGAAGGCGAGAGGCGGCCCGGCCCGCCAGCTCCCAAGGGACATTTTAACAACCTCTCCCTGCCGAGCGCCTCTCGCGCAGCCCGACGTACACAAAATGGCTCCTGCCTATACATCAAGGCGCCGGGCGGAAGGGGAGGGGGGGAGGCGAGGGGAGACCTTCCCTTTCCTATCCCCCCTCCGCCCTCACCGCTCCTCTCGCGGCCCCCCCCCCCCCGTCACCCCCACCTGCCTGGCGCTGCCGCCCGCTCGGCTCGCACCGGCCGCCCAGCCGCGGGGCTCCCCTCGCACGGCCCGCTCGCAGCGCGGCCCCCGTACGCTCCCCTCGGCCGATCGGCCGCGCCCCGCCAACAGCCGCGCCGAGCGGGAGCGCTGCCGAGCCGCGGGGCGAGGGGTCACGGAAATAGCCGAACGGTTCCGAAGGCGGCGTCACCCTGACGGGAGCGTGAAAGCTTCTCTACGGAAATAACCGATGTTTTCCGAAGACAGGTAGCGTTCGGGAGAGGAGGACGAGGCGGGCCGGCCGGCCGGAGGGGGGAGGAAGGGGGAAGAGTTACGGAACAAGCCGACGTTTGCCGAAGGGAGAGACTGAAGGGCGTTGGGCTCGGCGGAGACGGCCGATGTTTGCCGAAGGCAGAGTCGCCCGAGAGCAAAGGGGACAGAGGGGACGGAGCGCGTCGGAAAGAGCCGAAAAGAGCCGACGTTAACCGAGCGCGGCGTCGCCCGAGTTTCCCGGATGTAGTTGGAGGAGCGGCGGCGGCGGCGGGCGCAGCGGGGGGAGGAGGCGGCTGCGGCGGCAGCGACGGAGTCCGCGCTCCCGGAGCGCCTCAGCGGGGCCGAACTGCCGGCGTCTCCCCTCAGGCTGCGCGCGGCGGAGATGGGCCCGTGAGCGCCGCTCCCAGCCCAGCTGCCGAGCCGCCCCCTCCCTCCCTGCCCCCTCCCTGCCCCCGGTCGGCGGCGAGGCGGAGCGCCGCTCCCCTCCTCCCCCCTCGGCGCCCGTGGCCCGGCCGCGGCCGTCCCTTCCTGGTCCCCTCACACTCACACACACAGGCCGGGCATTGATGGTAATGTATGCGAGGAAACAGCAGAGACTCAGTGATGGGTAAATCCCCTCCTCGGCCCCGCGGCTCTCCCCCCGCCTCCGCCATGTTTGGGCCCCTTCCCGGCGGCCGGTAACGGCCCTCGCTAACGCCTCTCTCTCTCTCTTTCTCTCGCCTTCTCCGCAGCTGTCACGACCGCAGGGGGGACTCGCAGCCCTACCAGGTACCGTCGCGCCGGCCGCTAGGCCCGGGAGGAGGAGCGGGGCAGGGCAGGGAAGGGAAGGGGGGGGGAGCTACTCCGGCCCAGGCTTCGGCCGCCGCCGCAGGCCGCGCTGCCCCGCGCGGCTTCTGCCCGGCCCGCGGCGCCTTCTCGGGCACCGGGGGGGGGGAAAGGGGGCGAGGCGGCGGCCCGCAGCCGGGAGAACGGGGCCGCCGCGCCGCTGCGAGGGCCAGGCCGGGAGGAGAGGCCTAGTGCGGGGCCGGGGCCTAGCCGCCGGGAGGTGCGAGCCCAGGGGCGGGAGAGCGCGGCGGGGTCACGAGCGGAGGAGCCGAGAGCCGGGGGGAGGCGAACGTTTTTCTCCTAAAAACAAAAGGAGGCTTGTTCGCCCCCCGCCCCCCTCCCCGAGGCCCTTCTCCCCAAAAGTGCCGCTGCAGGCTGTAACCTGAGCAGGGCACGATTTTAGACCCTGAACTGGGGTTGCCGGTAAGGCTTCCTTTCTACAGTTGCCAGCTGCTAGGTGTGTTCAAAAACATCAGATCATCCAGCTTTTGGCAATAACTTCACTTTAAGTACAACGAATCCCATCATCTTCTGCCTTGTCTGTGGAAAAAAAAGAAATTATACCCTGAGGAGGGTGTGAGTCTGGGGAACGCCGTGTGTTGTGACACTGCTCTTCTTAGGGCACGTAACTGAACCGTTTTATTACATTTCTGAGTATTTCTCTCACTGTGAAGTGTCATCTGACAGTCCAAGGCAGCTGTCAGTGACAGTTCACGTAATGTAAACAGTTGCCACTCAGAAGCTCGCTCTGCAAAACTGAGCAGGTCAAGGAGAGACAGAACATGTTTTGGTAAAAGTTCCCAAATGAATTGTCACATTACATGTTTGTCCCCTTACATCCCCACAGAAATTCTAGATTTTTATCGTATCTGTTGTGGGTTTGCTAGTACTGAAGTCTGTCTGCAGAAGCTTAAGGTAGAGGCTAAAGGAAGTGGTCTTCATTACAGTATGGATATTTACAGTTTAATCTGATTAAATGTAACTTTCTGTTTATTTCTTTGATACCAGCTGCACTTGTGCTTATTTTAAGTGCCAGAAGTATTGTGGCCCACTTACTGCTTAAAGTTTGCAATCCCTCACTGAAACAAAAAGAAATTAGGCTCATTTTAACAGCAAATGTTACGTTAGATGTCGTGGTGGGAGCAAATGGTTTTGTCCTAATTACAGAACTTGTTGCTTTAATGTAGGTAATTAAAATTAGGAGGACTAATGGTGGTTGTTTAAATGGGAAATGAAAATTAATTACTTCAAAAAGTATCTTGGAAAAAAGATCTAAAATTTATGACTGATGTTAGAACGTTCATTCTCTAACTTTAATGAAAATGCCTGTTCTCTTGTGATCTGTTTCAGGCTCTTAAGTACTCATCCAAGAGTCACCCAAGTGGTGGTGATCATCGTCATGACAAGATGCGAGACACCACAGATCCTTCACCACCAAATAAAATGTTGCGGCGCTCTGATAGCCCTGAAAACAAATACGGTGACAACACAGGGCACAGTAAAGCAAAAAGTGTGCATACTCACAGAGTTAGAGAGAGGGATGGTGGTGAGTTATCTTTAATTAACCTTTATTTAAGCAATTACTGCTTTCTCATAGAATTAAACAGTTGTTACTCAGGTGAAGGGAGCATTGCGCTAAGCGATGTTCTTTGGTGCTTGGAAGACTACAGTGAAACCAAGAACCATGTTTCCTTGGACGTAGGCATTGTAACACCTGTTAGCTGTCTTATTTTTGCAGGTATGATAGTTCTTATTTAAACTACGAAGGTTAAATTCACTTCTTTTTTTTAAATTATCATATCTGACTTATTTCAGACATACTGCAACATACAATAAGGTGAAACCATATTCTAGATTTTTCACTAGTATTGGCAGTCTTAGAGGCTGAAATTGTTGGTTTTTAAACACTGTAAAGTGTTTAATAATTTAATTTTTTTAAATTTTTTAAATTATTTCGTGTTCCTGTAAAGTTCTGTGCTTCATAGAATGCACATTGTAAAATGATGAAAAAGCTTTGTATCTAGTTCTAGTTGCTGTGTAGAACTCCTAGCAATTTTAAAATCAAAGACAGCACTTAGTACAGTATCTCTTGGCAGAAGCTTAGTCAGGTAGCCTCCTGTCTTTTTACACTGTAATTTAAATGATAATAGCATGCTCAGAAGTTTTAAGATGATGTTATTTTCTGCTCCTACCTCCTAGAAACACCTAGGAGTAAGGTTTTCCTTTTAATAAAAGGTAGTAACAGCTGGAGGTTTGAAAGGCTTGTTACTGACTGAATTTGGAAGCCTGTTTTGTAAGTATTGTTCTTTGTATTGTGTTATAAAGTATTCAGGTAGAGAACTTGAGACAAAGAAGCACTGATAAAAGTTCTACATAAAGTTAAGAACCTGTGATGTCCAGATGTATTTATTGCTGCTGTATGGTTACTTGTTAAAGTAACAAAGAAAATACCTTTGTCTCCTTTAGAGTGTATTGGTTCCATACCACATGTACATTTATGGTGCTCGACTGTTCTAACAGTTCTTACGTTTTCCCACATTTGGGGATTAATAGTAGACTGCTGATAATCAGATGTTACTTTGTAGAAGGTTTGCAAAGACTGGCAGCATTTCTTAGTATGTTGGTTTTCGTTATGTTTGCACATACTTGTAAACACTGTAATCTCAGAATGAAATGCATGTGGCAAACTGTTAGACTGCTATTCCACATTACTTTCCAAGGCACAAAAGTGCCTTCTCTTCCTTGCTTGCCTGTCCAAAGGTACTTGTCCTACCTCCTCCTTTAATTCTGCTGAGTTCTGGTGCAGTCAGTAACCCGATTTCAGTGAAGCTACATTTAGTGGAGTTATGCATATATGAGAACATTTGGAGGATGAGGCTCTGTGTGGGGAGCATATTCGCTTATTTTAGTACTAAAATTGTTTCTGAGGGTAGAAACAGATTCTAAAGCTCTCACTGACTCTGGACTGGTGAGTGATCTGAGGTGTGGATGTAGACAGTAATGATGGAGGAAAAGCAATTATTTGTACTTTTGTAAGTGTAAGGAACCCTGTCCCACTGCTGTTAATACAGTGAAAAATGTACTTTATTCTATCTGAATGTGGACTTGTCTAAATTATATGTCAGTGGACTAGGAGAAAGAGATAGTCTTAAACAGTTTGAAGGAAGTTGCTGATTTTGAAGGAGCATCTACATTATTCTGTATTGACAATG